AACCTCATATCATAACCCTTTATCATAAACATGTACGTGTGTTTATTATATATATATATATATATATATATATATATATATATATGTATATATACACACACTGCTCAAAAAATGAAAGGAACACTTTTTAATCAGAGTAAAGCATCAAGTCAGTTAAACTCCTGAGATATTGATCTGGTCAGTTAAGTCGCAGAGGGGTTGTTAATCAGTACAACAGGTAGACTAGATGGACAACAATGAGACAACCCCCAAAACAGGAATGGTTTTACAGGTGGAGGCCACTGACATTTTTTTCCCTACTCATCCTTTCTGATTTCTTTTGCTGTTTTTCACTAGTTTTGTATTTGGCTAGGGTCAGTGTCACTACGGGTAGCATGAGGCGATACCTGAACCCTACAGAGGTTGCACCAGCAGTCCAACACCTCCAGGATGGCACATCAATACATGTCATTGCCAGAAGGTTTGCTGTCTCTCCCAGCACAGTCTCAAGAGCATGGAAGAGATTCCCAGGAGACAGACAGATACTCTGGGAGTGCTGAACAGGACTGTAGAAGGTCCTTAACCCATGAGCAGGACTGGTATCTGCTCCTTTGTGCAAAGAGGAACAGGATGACTACTGCCAGAGCCCTACAAAATGAGCTCCAGCAGGCCACTGGTGTGAATGTCTCTGACCAATCAGAAACAGACTTCATGAGGGTGGCCTGAGGGCCTGACATCCTCTAGTGGGCCCTGTGCTCATTGCAGCTCCATTGGCATTTGCCATTGAACACCAGAATTGGCAGGTCCGCCACTGGTGCCCTGTGCTTTCACAAATGAGAGCAGATTCACCCTGAACACATGTGACAGACGTGAAAGGGTCTGGAGAAGCCATGGAGAACGTTATGCGCTGCCTGTAACATGGTTCAGCATGACCATTTTGGTGTTGGTTCCGTTATGGTCTGGGTAGGCATATCCATGGACGGTTGCACAGACCTCTACAGGCTAGACAATGGCACCCTGACTGCCAATAGGTATCAGGATGAAATCCTTGGACCCATTTTCAGACCCTACGCTGGTGCAGTGGTCCTGGGTTCCTCTTGATGCACAACAATGCCGGCCTCATGTGGTGAGAGTATGCAGGCAATTCCTGGAGAATGAAGGAATTGCTACCAATGAATTGCCCCCACGCTCACCTGACCTAAATCCAATAGAACACCTCCAGCATATCATGTTTCTATCAATCCAATGCCGCCAGGTTGCACCTCAGACTGTCCAGGAGCTCAGTGATGCCCTGGTCCAGATCTGGGAGGAAATAACCCAGGACACCATGGGGTTTTTTTTACTAAAGCTGGAGAGTCCAAAATTAGACTCCCTTCTGCATAGAAACCAATCAGCTTCTAACCTCAGCTTGTTCAATGAAGCTTTGGCAATGAAACCTGGAAGCTGATTGGTTTCTGTGCAGAAGGGAGTCTGATTTTGGACTCTCCAGCATTAGTAAATAAACCCCCATCTGTCACCTCATTAGGAGCATGCCCTGATGTTGTCATGTGGGGCCGTACAAACTAGTGAGTACCATTTGAGTTGCTGCAATGAAATTTCAGCAAAATGGACTAGCCTGCTGCGTCATTTTTTCACTTTGATTGTTCGGGGTGTCTTTGAATTCAGTCCTCTGTAGGTTGATCATTTTCTTTTCCATCAAACGATGGGGCATCCTTACATTCCTAACACATTACCCAGTCCATATCAGTATCCCAGATATCCAGCATGAATAATTTTTTTGACCCATTGCAGATCTGAATGTCTGTTTGATAAAGTTATCGTTCAATGTAATTTGATTTTTTATGTCTTATTTTGAGCTTCACTTGTATGAACACACACACTTTCTGCACATTTAAAAAAAGGATACCACCAAATCAAGCTGAATATCCATGGGCAATCTGTTTTTTATGATAAAGGGTATTATGGTAAAATGAGGTTATATGTAATTTTTTTGTTACATTTACAAAAGGATACTTATACTGGAAGGGAATTCTGTTTATCAAAGCTTTCTGACACTTGGGTATTTCAGGTTTATATATATTGAATTTGTATACAGTGCTGCATGACAGTGCAATTACTAGTTAAATAGTGCAGTGCTGAATAGCAAAAAATGGCCTGGTCATGAAGGGGATTAAACCTTCTGGATCGTAAGTGTTTAAATAAAAAAAGAAAAAAGTGTTAATTAAAAAATGTGTAATAAAATAAAAAGGAACAATAAACAGAAGGCCCCTTGTACACACCCCGATATGTCAGTATTGGGCCTATGAGCCAGGGCTGTGGATATGGAGGTAGCACCAGCCCTTCTGTACGGTGTGCAGGCAGCTGGGTGAATTGGATGTAGGCAGGAAGGGTGATTGCTGGAATCGATGTCTTGCAGCAGCTGAAAGCTTCTCCTCTCCCTCCTACTGGCTTTCAGCTGCCCCATACAGAGATAATTTCCAGTAACTGCCAATCCCCCCACCCATCACCCTCCCTGTGCACAATACATTTTCTGCTTAGGCCCCCCTGTGTGCCCCCCCCCCCTTCCCCCCCACTCGCTGCACCCATCACCCTCCCTGTGCACAATACATTTGCTGCTTAGGCAGCACAGTGGCTAAATGGTTAGCACTTCCACCTGGCAGTACTCGGGTCGCTGGTTTGAATCCCAGCCACGGCACCTCCTGCCTGGAGTTTGCATGTTCTCCCTGTGCCTGCATGGGTTTCCTCCGTGTACTCTGGTTTCCTCCCACACTCCAAAGACATGTTGGTAGGCTAATTGGATCCTGTCTAAATTGTCCCGTGTATGTATGAATGTGAGTTAGGGACCTTAGATTATACGCCCCTTGAGGGTTAGGGACTGATGGGAATGTACAATATATATGTAAAGCGCTGCGTAAATAGATGGCGCTATATAAGTATCTGTAATAAATAAATAATAATAATAGGCCCCCCTGTGTGCTCCCCCCTACCCGCTGCACCCATCACCCTCCCTGTGCACAATACATTTGCTGCCAAGGCCTCCCTGTGTGCCCCTACCCCCGCAGTACTGCCGTCTTCCCTACTGTCCTTTCCACCACCAGCTGCAAGCACACAATAAGATCCTTCAGGAGAATGGGGGAAGGGTGCAGTAAATATGTCACATTTACCAACCCCTTCCTGAACACAATGGTGATCGGTGCTGATCACTCTCTGTGTTCATAACTGAAGCATAGTAAACTGTTTTTTTTTTGGGGGGGAGGGGTTCCTGTCAGGTTGGTTGTTTAGGGCCCTGTGGTTTCTAACAACTGCCCACCTAGGAGCTGACAATGGTGTTTCCATGTCTAGAGCTCCTTTAACCAGTTGCTGCCTGGCCTATAGCCAGATGGCAGCCAGGCGAACAGCTTGTCCCTCCGGTTGGACGCCATATAGCTTCCTTTCCAGAACGCGCATTGCGCATGCCTGCAGGGCAGCGCTGTGGCGAGATCTGTCACCGGCCGTGTACCTCGGACACGGCCGATTTTCATGCCTTCACGCTTCCTTTCATGCCATCCATTGTATACAAGTTTGTCTAGCTGTGAATGGTCACAGCGATCACATGCACAAGCTGGGCCAATCACAGCCCAGCTGTTTCATGTGATTAGCCGTGGCCAAATCACGGCTAATCACAAAAAAAAAAAACCCTGAATGAATCGATGTCATTCACGTAAATGCTTGCCTATAGCAAAGTAATTCTTTGCTATGAGCAAATTGTGTAAAAGAAACAAATACTGAAAACTTCCCCAAAGTAGTACAATGTTACTATGGTAACATTATACTACTTTGGTCATAGTGCAATATGAAAAAAAATCTTAAAAAAGAGAAAAAAATGTAATAAAAACTAAAAATAATAAAAAAAATTATCATTTTTTTTCTGTACTGTTACCAGTGTCCCTGATCACCGCCATGCCAGTTATATGATGACACTGTACTCCATTGGTAACAGTATGTAAAAAAAAAATCGTGAAAATTTTTTTTTTTAAATTTCTTTTCTGAAAAATTATGACAAAAAAATTACAACTTCAAAAAACTCGCCATTCCTCTTATGAAGTATGTCGGACTGTCTACTTTACAAAAAGGGGCCATTTGGGGGATATCTGTACTGTTCTGACATTTTTGGACCTCAAGAAATTAGATTGGCTGTCAGTACTTCAGGATTGATCAATATTCAGATCTATACCATAGTTTGTGAACTCTATAATTTTCCTACAAACTAAAAAATACATCCTAATTTGGGTTATTTTCACCAAAGACATGTAGCAAAATACATTTTGGCCTAAATTTATGAAGAACAATTATTTATTTGCAAACTTTTATAACAGAAACAAAGAAAAACGTTTTTTTTTTTTTCAAAATTTTCAGTCTTTTTTTTGTTAATTTAGCAAAAAATAAAATCCCCAGCAGTGATTAAATACCACCAAAAGAAAGCTCTAGTTGTGTGAAGAAAATTATAAAATTTTTGTTTGGGTACAATGTTGTATGACCGCGCGTCATTCAAAGTGTAAGAGCGCTGAAACCTGAAAATTGGTCTAGGTAGGAAGGGGGTAAAAGTGCCCGGTATGGAAGTGGTTAAATGGCGGACATGCAATGACGTCACCGCGCACGCATGCCAAGGTGTGCACATAACAAAATGAGGGGGGAAGGAGGGATTTTAGTAAAAAAGAGGCCCAGTCTCTGTCAATAAGTGACAGTTGGACTTGGGAGCTGTATTTGCGGCAGCCTGTGCTATCCTCTCATCGTCTATATAGTGTCTGTGTGAGAATGGGGGGGATGTGGAGCGGAGTCATCGCAAGAACAGCTGACGTCACACACACTTTAGAGGCAGGAATGGAAAACAATGGCAGGTTAATGGACTTGAAACGAAGAAATGCAACCAATCAGCACTGTGTGTCGGTCAGCAGTGGGCGGGGTAGCTTTAAAAGTGACGGCTGTGCTGCGTAATGGGACAGATTTGGGGGGCGGGGATGCGCATTTATGACGTTTAAAACATGGCGGCCTCCAGGAGCGTGTGTAGAACGGTGGGTGAAGCGGGAGTTGAAGGTTATAAAATAAAGGAAAGCAAGGAGGCGGTTGTTGGAGGCTCAGCTGGCGCCCTGCACCGACTGTAGCTGCCGGTTGATGTCATGGTTTATTGTGTGTAGATAGTAGGGCGAGCTGGCTATGACAACTGACAGCTTGTGAATGGAGGAGGCGATCATTTCCAGAGTGTGTGTGATGAGAACGGGCCGAGCTGGCAGCTATAAACCTGTGTGTGTGGAGAGGGTGAGCGAGCAGTGTCCGCTGGGACCTGGGCTTCCACACAACGTCTTTCTATTGGACGAGATATTGTGCCCCTTCCTGGGAGCTCCACTACGAATCCTGTCCCTTGTTTACTGCTTTAACCACTTGTCCTCTTGAGGATTTACCCCCCCCCCCCCTCCTGACCAGGCCAGTTTTGCGTTATGGTCATGCAACGCTGCACGGAAATTAAATGTCCTTTTTCCCCACAAATACAGCTTTTGTTCGGTGGTATTTGATTGCCTGTGCATTTTTTTATTTTTTTTGCTCTGTATATGCAAAAAAAAAACAATTTTGAAAAAAAAAAACAATATTTTTGACTATTTGCTATGTCCAGTAAAAAAAAATTAAAAAAAAACCTAATTTTGTCAAATTTAGGCCAAAATGTATCCTGTTACATGTCTGCTAAAAAAACAAAAAACCCCAATACGTGGAAATTAATTGGTTTACGTGAAAGTTATAGCATTTACAAATGGTGGTATAGATATAGATTTTTTTGCTAGTATTGGCAGCGATCAGTGACTTATAGTGGGACTGTGGTAGGCATTCTTGCACTGGGGAGAACTGACTTGGTGTCACTGACATCCTCAGTGACACCAATACAGTGATCAGTGCTAATAAAAAGCACTGATGCTACTAATGGAACTGGGCATGAAGGGGTTAACATGAGACACAATTGAAAGGTTAACTGCTGTTTCACATTATGTGCTGTGTGTGTGCTTCAATGCAATCACGCTGCTTTGTATGGCTCTGCTACACAGAGTCATACAAAGCAGTGTGCTGGAGCTGACACGAGGGAGATCTGTATTGTTTACATACAGTTCTCTCCCCCATCGGTATTACTTGCCGATCACCAAGTGCTGGTGAGTAATCACTGGCCGAAACCATGACAGCCAAGGCCACGAATGGCAGCACGGGTAGGGTGCACGCACACCCCCCCCCCCGACCCGGAACTGCAAAATCACGTATATATACATGATTTCATGCACCCCTGCAGCAGTTTTTCTTTGTTTCTATTAGAACATTTTGCAAACAGGTAATTTTTCTCATTCACTGATGTGCATTGATGAGGCGGTACTAATGATGCTGCACTGATATGCAGCAATGATGGGTGGCACTGTTGGGCACAGGTGAGTGGCACTTGTGGGTGGCACTGCTGGGCACGGATAATCAGGGCACTGATAATCAGTGCCGATCTGTCCTCTGCCAATTGCCAGTTATTGGCACTACTTTCCTCACGCCATGAGGAGAGTGCAGTCAATAATCGGCAGCTGCATTTACCGGTGATCTGCTGTGTCATTGGAAACAGCTGATCACGTGGTAAAGGTCGCTGTAATTGGCCTTTTACCACATCACGTGATCAGCTCTGGCTGGGGGGGGAATGGGAGGACGTCATATAAAACCCTCCCAGAACTGGACAACCGCAATGTAGCCGTCAATTGGCTATAGCGCAGTTGGCAAGTGATTAAAGCGGTATTAAATCCCAAACCAAAAATTGTATATATTGCAGTTTACCAACCATTAGATGTGGTGGCTGCATTCGTTTTTTACTTTTTTTTTTTAAAGGATCTGTTTTCACCTGGTGATCTGACCGGTAACATACCTCCTGTATTAGAGTGCAGCTACTCTGGATGAAGGAGCTCAGGGGACACCTTTGAACAGCAGCATTGTCAGTCTGGGGTGGGGAATGTTAGATGAACTAGCAGATTTAGATACACCAACAAATTGAGCAGTTACAGCAAACCATTGTCTTCCTCTTAGGATAAAGGTTTGACCTAACAGGTGGTCATTGTAAGCACCCCTGGCAGTGGTAAATGGTTTGTCTCAGCACTGTAACTGATAAATCTGGAAGGAAGCTTGTTCTTTTGAGAAACAAGCTTACTGGCCAAATCACCAAATAAAAATAAGAGCCTAAAAAGCAAAAACTAATGAAACCACCACATGTAAGAATTAATGAGCTGCAATATGAGGTTGACTTACTAAAGGCAAATATACTGTGCACTGCAAGTGCAGTTGCTCTAGATCTAAGGGGTAGCTCTAAAATGGGGAGGGGGGGAGAGGAGGGAAGTGCTGCTGCTTTCTATCATACAATCATGTGCAAGCAAAAATGTTTGTTTGTTTTTTTGTTTCTATTTTGCTTGCATATTCCCCTCAGATCTAGAGCAACTGCACTGGCCTATTTGCCTTTAATAAATCAACCCCGATGTTTGGTGTTGGGTTTAATACTGCTTTAACCCTTACTAATCTTGAAACTGTCCCCTTGTTCCTCCGAACATCTACATTTACTAACCCATGTAAGAAAGATGTATGTACTTGTCTATTTTCAGGCCACTCTGGTTTGGTCATATGATCTCCTCTGTGTCAGCCTCTGCAGGGGAGCGGAGGGAGTGCCGGCAATGAATGGAAGGACATTGAAGTATATGGGAGAGGTCACTGCCCCAAGCTTTACTCACCCATTTTAGGAGCACACTCTACTCTCCCCTGCAGCTGTTGCTGGCTGACACAGGGGATCATGTGACTGAAGCAGGCTTTGTGAGCCAGCATGGCTTTTGGGAAGAGGAGGGACCACTGATAATAGATGGATCATTAAAACCTCTGGGTGACCTCATGGCTCCAGGTTTTAGTAGCCATTACTGAGCACTCCCTCTTCTCCCCCTGCAACGACATTGGCAATCACAGTGGACCATGTGACCAGGCTGAAAATGGGTTAAGTATATACATTTTTCTTGCACAGGTTAGTAAACACAGGTGTTATGAGTGGGGAGGGTCTTAAGAGTAGCTAGGATTAAGTGTGGAATGCCACTTTAATATTTGATGGATGATGAGATCTCAGTGCAGAGCAGAGAGCCTTTGGACCAAATTTCCAGGTAAGCATGGATCTGATGGGTTGTGTAAAAACCTCTTTATGTGTATGAGTAACATAGCTACTGCTTTCAAAAAACAAGCTGCAGTGGCTCACTTTTTAGAGGGCATTTGGGATGTGTGGAGGTGTTACATCATGTTCTTATCGCTTGAATAGGTACCCAAAATACTGCGCCACTGCATGCTTGCCGCACACATCGCTGCTCCACATTAGTTAGACACTGGCAGTCCTACTTGGCCATTCAGAAAACGCACAGTCACTGTAAGCATTTTGTGAATAGCTGAGAAAAGGGGAGGTTATGACGTGTGTGTTATGGATGTGGAGCATTGATGTCGCAGTCTGGAAAAACAGGGCTGGATTACATTGGTGCGTTGCCCTAAGGAATATGCATTGAACATGCATTATTGCTTGTTTTGTGTGCATTGTGTTAGAAACCCCCTTTCTTTTGAATGACAGAAAGTACCTAAGCTGGTGCATGTCACAATGCATGACACGTGTTGCCACAAGTGTTTGGTAATGCATTTTTGGTGTGTTTCCACAATAAACCTTTGTGAACTGGGCTTGAAGGAAAACTGCAATAGGCAATTGACATGTTTTAGCTTTTCAGGGGATGGTAGAATAGAGGCTTTCAGACGTTCAGGGGCAATCCTGCCATTCCTGAATTCCTGTGCATTTTGTTGAATGTGGAATATGGATTAAACCATGCTTCAACCGCAAGCCAAACATTTGGCTCACAGTTGTGGTGCGATTCTATTGACTTTGATAGGCGAGTTTCACAAGAAGCACCACCTGTCAAACTCAACAAGCCAAGTTACATTTGCCTGTGGCATATGCATGATCTCCTCTGGATGCTATTTTAGGCTTTTGGGGGGTGGTTAAAATGTGTTTGAAATGCCTGTTCTTGCCACCTTGTGAACAAGGACTTAAGAAGAAGATGATGGTGAGAAAAAAGATGGGTCTATGTACAATAGAAGATGGGCACCCCAGCTAAAAATGATGTCTAAAGAAGCCAAGGAAAGATGGAAAAATCTCCAAAATGCATCAAATTACAGATTAGACATTCTTATAATATGTCAACAAAAGTTAGATTTTATTTCCATCATTTACACTTTCAAAATAACAGAAAACAAAAAAATGGCATCTGCAAAAGTTTGGGCACCCTGCAGAGTTTAATATCTTGTACTTCCCCCTTTGGCAAGTATCACAGCTTGTAAACGCTTTTTGTAGCCAGCCAAGAGTCTTTCAATTCTTGTTTAAGGTATCTTTGCCCATTCTTCCTTACAAAAGTCTTCCAGTTCTTTGAGATTTCTGGGCTGTCTGTCACGCACTGCTCTTTTAAGGTCTATCCATAGATTTTCAATTATGTTGAGGTCAGGAGATTGTGAAGGCCATGGCAAAACCTTCAGTTTACGCCTCTTGATGTAATCCCCCGTGGATTTCGAGGTGTGTTTGGGATCATTATCCATTTGTAGAAGCCATCCTCTCTTTAACTTCAGCTTTTTCACAGATGGCATCAAGTTACCATCCAAAATTTGCTGAAATTTTATTGAATCCATTTTTCCTTCTACTCGTGAGATGTTCCCTGTGCCACTGGCTGCAACACAACCCCAAAGCAGGATTGATCCAACCCCATGCTTAACAGTTGGACAGAAGTTCTTTTCATTAAATTCTGTGCCCCTTCTTCTCCAAACGTACCTTTGCTCATTCCGGCCAAAAAGTTCAATTTTAACCTCGTCGGTCCACAGAACTTGTTTCCAAAATGCATCAGGTTGTCTATATGTTCATTTGCAAAGTTCAAACGATGATTTTTGTGGTGAGGACGTAGAAGAGGTTTTCTTCTGATGACTCTTCCATGAAGACCATATTTGTACAAGTATCTCTTTATAGTGGAATAGTGTACCACAACTCCAGTGTCTGCCAGATCTTTCTGGAGGGATCGTGCAGTCAAACGTGGGTTTTGAATTGTTTTTCTCACAATCCTGCGAGCTGTTCTGTCTGATATTTTTCTTGGTCTTCCAGATCTTGCTTTAACTTCCACTGTTCCTGATGACTGCCATTTCTTAATTACATTCCGAAAAGAGGATATTGACATCTGAAAACGCTTTGCTATCTTCTTATAGCCTTCTCCAGCTTTGTGAGCGTCAACTATTTTCAGTTTCAGTTTTCTAGACAACTGCTTAGAAGAACCCATGGTGCTGATTGTTGGGGCAAGGTCAGATGAGTCTGGGCATTTAAAACCTTTGAGATTGACATCACCTGGTCTTCCCAGACGATGATTGAGAACAATCCATGACACTGGCAGGTCTCAGCTTTGCAAAGGGGGCAGTGCATGCTATAAATTCTGCAGGGTGCCCAAACTTTTGCAGACGCCATTTTTTTGTTTTCTGTTATTTTGAAAGTGTAAATGATGGAAATAAAATCTAACTTTTGTTGACATATTATAAGAATGTCTAATCTGTAATTTGATGCCTTTTGGAGATTTTTCCATCTTTCCTTGGTTTCTTTATGCACAGTAATACAAATTTTTAGCTGGGGTGCCCAAACTTTCGATCCCCACTATACATTGCAGGGATTTTAGCAACCGATGTTGCAGATTTCTGCCCTTTTGTAATTCTGAAGAAATAGCTGTCTATCTGTGCCCATGTCCACAGTAAATCTGTATGGGAGTGGTTTTATAATCATCAATCAGCTGCTGCCCCTGCAGGGCTCTAATGTGGAAAGTGGCAGGGTTTGCAGCCCTTTAGATGTGATTTCCCTTTGGGAGTATCTCACCAAAAATTACATTATATCTGACCTATATCTTAGTGCAGACTTCTGGGAAATCAGTGAGTCAATCACACAAGCAGGAAATTACATTTGCAGGGGGAATTCTGCACACCATCTGTGTACGGAACGTATCCAGGTAGCCATATTTCATTGCATTTTACAGAAAATTACAGCACTACAATTGAAAATGGAACGTCGTTTTTGATATACAATTACAATATAATTTGAGTTGCATTTGTATATACTATATCTATTACTAATTTTGTTCCTCCAAAAGTGGAGTTACCCTTTAAACCTTAACCGTAGTGCAGAACTCCTGCAGAGGCTAGTATCTGAAACTTCAAGTGTGTCCAATACACTATTCCTCGCTGTGCATTGTCAGCCCCTGTGTCACTACAGGATCACTTTAAAGCGGAGTTCCACCCAAAAGGGGAAGTTCTGCTTTTAAAGATTGGTCCCCCGCTCCCAATTAAGGATTGGCACCTTTGGGTCTAGGTAATCCGAAACGGAAGTTGTCCTCCTACCCCCCCTCCGTGACAGGTCCCCGAAGGGCTATTCAGTGGGTACCTGACTGTGAAGCCGCAAGCTGTCACAATTCGGTACCCACACTGAAGATGCCGACACCTGGAATACAGGACGGCCGGTGAAACGGGCTGCAGCGGGGGCAACGCGGGATCGTGGGACAGGTGAGTGGCTGTTTTTTAAAAGTGAGCAGCTACAGTTTTTGTAGCTGCTGAGTTTTATTTTTTCACTTTCGCTTTAAGTTTCAGGGTTAAGTTGATTTAGGTTATTTTATAAAATTTTTACGTAAGCTTGGTGTTTGCAATAGATTATTGTGAAAGCCTTTATTTTATATTTATTTGTGGTGTCCAAGAATTACCACCAAACCATTGTTGCATATTTTTTTCATATTGCACAGTCCGGATTACATTTGTTGTGCTGCTTTTAGTAAATCCATTTACATTTTTTTCCCTCTAGGAGAGCAACTGTAACTTTATCTGAATGCATACATTGTTACTTGTGCAAACCTTTTTTTTTTTTTTTTTTTTTTTTTCTTTGGCTTGTAGAGTACAGCAACGCATGAGAACCTGCAAGAAGTCATTTTCAAATGTGACTGCCACATATACATCATAATTGCACTTCTTTACTGTCTATCATAACTAGCAGAAATGTTCCCAATTGCAAAATGCTGTGAAATTTAGAAGTCCCATTGGTACAAATGACTTGTGTCCATTCATATGACACGGCAATGATTGTCAATATAGAGTGCATAATGTAGATAGTCTTTTATTCCTTCTGTGACACCTTTTTGTTTTGATACCTTTTTTAATAAGAATTTTCTGCTTTTAGGGTCTAATTTCTCTCCTGAACCCAAGTCGTTTGATCATTCCAATCTTGCTTCAACCAGTAAGGACCAAGAAAAGATTCAGTGCTCCAAAATCAGTAGGAGCCAGATATAACACTAATGCGGAAACTGCAAGGAAAGCAAAGGCTGCTGGAATTATTGTTCCAGAAGAACTCATGGAACGACAAATTAATGTTTCCTGCACAGGTAGTGAAATCTTCTATTGATATATTGAGGAGCTGTAAAGGGGTGTGGACATTTTTGAAAAAAAACTACTTTTCCAGGGACTAAATCTGTACCCCAATCTACTTGTCCCTCATGGCAATCTACTTGTCCTAAAAAAAAAAAAAAAAAAAAAAAAAAAAAAAATTAACCAAAACTGTATTTAAATCTGAGGTGATTTAAGTAATGTCTGGGGCTTTTAAAAACAAAAGAGGCTTTATGGCGACTTAAACTTTAATATTTTTAACATTGCGCTGTATATCTCCTCCTCCCATTCCTGCCAATCATCAACACCGCACCCAGGAACTAGAAGGGAGGGAAGAGACCTTGCAATGTAATGGGCTTTGGGTGCTTGTCAGGAAAGGGGGTTGTTGGGCTTATCCTTTTATCCCTTTTGCTGCTGGAGCTGTTTTTTGCGTTTTTTTTTTTTTTTTTTTTTTTTTTGTTTTTGTTTTTTGTACACGTTTAAAAATTCATTTAAGGCCTGAAGATGACATCGAGCTCCAAAACATTAAATATTTTCTGAAATCAGAGATCCTAGAGAATATATTAGTGGCAGCTCCAATCTTTTATGTCACACGATATTATCACAAAGGTCTAGGAAACACAAAGTTTCAGAACAAAATACACTTAAGTTAATTTTAGGGCACAAAAAGCAATAAATTATCCATTTATTTTGTAAAAAAAACTGATGGGTTATCAGTTTAGCATTACGTAGGAGGTCTGGTGCCAGAATTATTGCTCTCACTTTGGTGTGCACGGCGATATGTAACATGTGTATAGCAATTGTCGTTTTCATGTGTAGGCGCCCCAGAGCATGCTTTTACGTTTGTGCATACATATGTGGGGGACCTTGAAAAATGTTGGCAGGTTATATGCTTGGTTGTAGCTTTAATTGTTTAAAAACAAAACCAAAACTTTTTTTTTTTTTCTACTTATTTTTTTCATCACATAGGGGACAAAAAGTCCCCTATGTCACAGGTTTCAAACTGGCAGCCCTCCAGCTGTTGCCAAACTACAAGTCCCATGAGGCATTGCAAGATTGAGGGCTACAAGCATGACTCCCAAAGGTAGTTTCGCAACAGCTGGAGGGCCGCCAGTTTGACACCCCTGCCCTATATGATGATTTTTTTTTTAGTGACCGGTTCTCTTTTTTGAGACATCCAGGGTCTAAAAGACACTGCATGTCTTCCCTGTACTCCAGTGGATTTAATGCAGTGCACATCGCACTGCATTACGTTCTTTCCCGCCTCGATCGCCGGGAAATCTGTCAACGGGGACCCGGAAGTGACATCACATCGCTTTCAGGTCAGGACAAGAAAGGAGGGGGAGCAGATGTGGCCGCTTTCCTCCCTCCCCTATACCCATCAGCTCCCGTTGAACCGGGCCCGCAGATGGGCAAATGGAGCCTGGGAGACATAGTGGGGGGGGGGGGGGGGGGGGCGGAGGATGGCAACATAGTGAGCTCTGTGGAAGCAATCGGGATGCAGCGCTGCCGCCCGAATGCTTCCACCTGACAGGTGAGCCCTGCTGCTTGCCTGCAGCAGGGCTAAAGGTAAAAAAAAACTACTTGCCTGGCGCCTGGAACTACTTGACCTAGGTGTTGGATGATATGAATTGAACATCCCTGGATGTATATTTGACAATATTCATGTAATACATTTTTCATTTAATGACAAATGAAAGATGTGTGCCGCTAAGGTCCAGTGTTTTTTTTTCAACACTTCTACTACTTGTACAAACTGTAGCTTGTACAGGCCTAATGTTTATTGACCCCCCCCCCCCCCCCCCCTCCTGGTCCGAGTAGTTTACAGCTGTATACTTGACAGTGCTGAGTTGTCGTTTTTTTTTTTTTTTTTTTTTTTTTTTTTTTTTGGGTCACAGCTTGTTTTGGGGTGATATTCCTTGTATTGTACCAGAAAATTGTAAATTGGACAGGAATTAAGTTACATTGCCACTTTTGTTGTTATTAACTATGGTAACATTGGATACAAGATGAACTCCAGACAGTTCCTTAAAGCCCTAATCCAGGATAAAATTAACCCCTCTGGTAACACTCCATCACCCCCCCCCCCCCCACGACCACCACGGGTCCCTCGGATGAAAACACACACCTTTCAAAATAGCTTTTTCTCTACATTCAACTGACGTGTTAGTAATTAGTCTAGCTTTCCCTCACCCATCTCTGTGGGTAGGAGCTAAAGTTTCACTAGTAGGAGCATTGTAAGAATCTATTTCATACATTTATTACAGGTACTTATATAGCGCCGTCAATTTACGCAGCGCTTTTACATATGTATTGTGCGTTCACATCAGTCCCTAACCCTCAAGGGGTGTACAATCTAAGTTCCCTAACTTACATTCATACATACACATACAAGGGCCAATTTAGACAGGATCCAATTAACCTACCAGCATGTCTTTGGAATGTGGAAGGAAACCGGAGTACCCAGAGGAAACCCACGCAGGCACAGGGAGAACATGCGAACTCCAGGCAGCTGGTGCCGTGGTCGGGATTCGAACCAACAACCTTAGTACTGCCAGGCGGAAGTGCTAACCATTTAACCACTGTGCTGCCCCGTACATGTTAAGCTTACAAAATGAATACTGTAATATTTCTTGATTAAGACATTTATATATGATATAACTTTTATATTAAGATTACCTTTAGGCGATAATAAAAAAAATATATATATATATCTAATACATTTACCCTGATTGATGGAATGTCAGTGAAGTTCTGACTATAGAGGTTCCAAGGATTAAGTTTCAGACTCTCTCCTAGGGGAAGGGAGAAGACTGAGAGTTTGTTCTATACATCGGTTGCCAAATATCATTGTAGGGCTACAAGAGAAAGAAAAGAAAACCAGCCCGCTTTTAGGAGAAGGTGGGGGCTGAATTGCTCCTTATAGAGCAGAACAAAGACTTTTTAGGCACACTTTTTTTTTAGAAGCAAGGCTAAGGGAGCTTACAGGTTCACACCATACTATACACACAATTACATATAATTTTTTTATCTTACGAACATAACTATATGTTTTTTGGACATTATCTAAACATTCTGTATTCCAATATATTTCTAATTTTATGTAATATTATTATTAAATCAATTTTTGAGTTTATGCAAGAGCTGGAAGGACTTTCTATTTTGAACTTTTCTCATCAATACAAGTTAACAAAATATTGAGACAATACGGTATTTTACAGCTGTGTAGCTTTAAGTAAAGAATATGTAAAGCCAACAATTCATATCCCTGATTATGTGCCTGTTGTACCATGTATTTGTATGAAACTGTATCCTGTTCTATTTATTATTACTTACTTTGTGTGAAGTCCCTAGTGTTCCTGCCAGTCCCTCTGCTTTCCTATTAAAAACTGACCATACTAGGCAGGAGAACACAGCGGTCAGTTCTCTAGCTATGCTGGGAACTCAGTGTGCTCTCCTTCAATGATCAGACTGGTTCTGACAACCCCCCCATGTATAGTAGTTCACCGGTGCAGATCAGTGTACTGCTGTTTCTTCTCCTCCCTGCTCTTTGCTGCATAAGGAGCTTAGAGGGTATGTGATCACTTATAAATCAGGGGGGACAAGTATTTATAATGTTTTTTTTAATTTATATCTATACACAAATGTTTTGCCTTTCATTTCTATTTTAAACTGAATGGGTTATTTTACAAGGTGATGGTTTATAGTCACTCTAAATAGACAAACAGACTCAAGTGTGCTGCCAACTCTCAGTAATAATGAGCAGCTGCTGCAAACACCAAATGTGTTCCCACATAAACATAACTATATATAAAGATAATGATGTGCTGCCTCAAAAAACCTTCAGCAGGAGATGATGCCAAAACTGACAACCGACTAAACCCCAGAAGGGATAATAAATACCTAAATGTTGATGATAAACATTTTATAGCCTTTCTAACCCAATAAAGTGCAAAAAATCCTAAACAAATATTAACATAACCAATAAATGACTAAGTGGCTGTATAATATACAAAAAAGGTGTAAATATTCTGTCTCAACAAGAAACTGAATAAAAAAACAAGTGCACATAAATAGGATAAAGAGATCCAATGACCAGTGTATCAAATATAAATATGCATAAATAAATGAATAAAAACGTGAAGCTAATCAATAGAAAATACAGTAAATACCCACCAGCCCACCTAACCCATTTAGGTGCTTAAAAAACCCCATATCATGATAATCTAATTAAATTAATAACATACAGAGTAATAAACCCCTACCAACCAGTACAAACCCAATAAAGTACAAAAATGGCAAAATATCAGTAATGACTGTAAATATGTAGAGAAGTCCCACAAAGAGTGAAAATATAAATGACATTTACATAAAGCGACAAAAGTGCAAACAATTGTGAATTATGCAAATAAGTCCCACAGAACAGTCCAATGTAATATATTGAACATGGGCAATGTAGATGTTCCACACTTCCCAGGACGAATAACACCGGTGGGTCCCATAATACTGTGCACCTTTACCACACGTAATGCGCACTTACCTTAAAGTGTTACTAAACCCAGGACTCTGCATTCACTATATCTGGTCTCCCACAGTACACCGAACATGGAAATGCAATTATTTTAGTAAATATAAACTGCTAAATACCTTTTCCCATCAGCAGATAGCAGTCTTGTGACTTCTATCAGTGTTCAGCAGAGCACTGGTTACAGCTTGTAGGAGGAGTTTTCTTTCTGCGTTGGGAGGATGCAAAACCCCGATCTCTGTCTGGAGAGTACTGATTGGCCCTGTTCTGATCACATGCACACTCCCAAAAAAAAAAAAAACTTCTCTAGCAATACACACTAAACTGAGCATGTGCAGAATGGCTACAGTTCAGTCTATCTTAGAAGATAAGACGTGGACATTTGAACAAGAGGAGCAGCAGAGAAGTCAGGATCAATGCAGAGGGATTAACCCCTTAGGTTCCACAGTGAGTATAACAAGCATGCTTTATACAGACTGATTTTACTGTTGTGGGTTTAGTAACACTTTATTGACCTATGCACACACAGGTCAAATACGCTCTTAAATATTCTGGGCTTTACAGGATCATTCGCCAGTTGGAACTAGGTACAGTAGACCACTCGAATGGAAATTGATACCAGTCCCCTTTAAATCCTCACCAGTAGTACCAGGTAGAGGTGTAAACTCAAAGGGAAAAAACACTTCTCATAGTTCGAAGCTTGCCCTGTCTTGTTGCTAGGACATTGCTAGGGTTCACTGTTACAGTAGCTCTGAGCTTTAGTGATGCTGCAATGGAGATGGTGAACCACACCATCTCTGGTGATGATGGGCGTGAGCAGTGCTGGCTGGGAGTGCCATAGCATCGTCCTAGCAACAAGGTAGAATGTGATGATGCTGTGTCTGGGAGTTCTTTTGCCAAGGCCTCAGGAGGTAAATGGCCTATATCTATTACCAGGGTATTCCCGAGTGTAGTTCGGGTAAAGTTTCAGTACCACAAACGGTAACCCCGAGCTACACTCGGGCTTACCATGCGGCGCTACTCCGGGATCCTTCGATCACTTACCTTGTCCTGCGGTCCTGTGATGTCCCTGGCAATGTAATCTGGCGGATGCTTTGAGCACAGAAATATGGACATAATCAGAGCACTAGGGAGTTTAACAAACTTTTGTCAAAATCCATTTGTTTTTATCTACAGGCCTCCTTACATAGGTTAGTGTTTTGATACCATGAACTAACCCTTTAACACTAGTGGCTGCTGTTTACAGTAGAAATTCTCAGTCCTCTGCCCACGGATATCCTACCAGCAATAATCTTCCAGTGCTGTGAAAGTAATACACCCTTTCTGCCCCTGTTCTCCATTCATAGTGCCAGAACATTATGCAGTGCAGAGTTCTGTGTTTGGAAGAGGTGGACCTTTTCCTCTAACCACGGAATGCTTTGCATTGTGGAAAACTATAGTATGAATGGAAAGTGAAGGTGAAAAGGAATGAGGAATGCCTGTCACAGGCACAATCTCTGATATTAACCCCAGAAGATCACTACTGCAGGGGTATCTGGTGACAGGAGACGCACTTCATTGCTGGTAAGTAGGGTTTATGATGCTGTTTACTTTTTTTTTTTTTTTTTATTCATATTAAAGTACAATTAATGATTTTCTAATGAACTAGCTTAAATATCTGAACCTGTTTTGATTACTGACATCCTGTATACTCCATAACAGCACTTTGGTGTTTTCTCCTTTTGTTTCCCAGTCATAGGCTGTGTGCTAATTTTAATTCTATTTTTTATTCTAGCTGGAATTTTTGATCCATATATACCCCCAGAAGGTGATGCCCGTCTGTCAACACTTTCCAAGGATGGTTTGAAACAGAGAACACAGCAACTAAAACAGACAGCAACCTCTCATTTGGCGTATGTTCTTACCTTCAGTGATTTTTCTCTTTTATTCTCTAGTCTTTTGATGTTGTGTGGTTATTTATTTATTTTTAAGCCTTGCTCACACCATGGTGCAGAGACATCAGTTTTTCTGTATGCGTTCTGCAAGGGCACAACAAAATCAATTGTTCTCTGTGCCCTGTTCACACCACAACACTAGTATCACGTGCAGATTTTTTTCTGTGCAGTAATCTGCATCGTGTATAAAACTCATTGAAACGTGCATGAAAATTGATGTAAACTGATGTCTCTGCAAGTGAAACTTGCGTGTCAATTTCCATCAGATTTTCTGCACATGTGGTGTGAATGAAGCCTAAATGTTTAATTTTCTCCGTCTTGTCTGTATACACAAATTGACTCTTGGTTCGCACTAGTCTGCAGGTTGTGGGTGAAGGAGCCGCACCTGTTCCCGCAGCTGAACTGCGCTGCTCTTGTGAGGCATGTGGGGCTGCCATAAATTCTGAATGCCACTCCTATGTATCTCAGCTCGCAGCATGATTGCAGGTGCTGGAACTGCAAGGAAACCGCATGGCCTTTTTTTTTTTTTTTTTTCTTTTTTTTTCTTCCCTGTGGTCCTACGGGAAACACGGCACAGCAGCCCATTCAAACGAATGAGCTGCCGTGCTTGAGCAAACGTGGGCATCTCAGCCCACAATAGTATGAATCTAGGGTAAGTGGTCTGTATTTCCAAAATCTTCTTCCAGGGCAGTGATGATTGATTGGTTCTGCCTTCAGGAAACACAAACTAGAAAGCAATTAAAAAGCCCCTCCCATGCCCTTCTCAGTTTCATTGTGTTTGTGATTATCTGGGAGCATACATTGCATCGATTGTAATGCTTTCCCTAACTTTTATTATGGTCATGGGGGCTCCCCTTGGTGTAGTTGGGTTACAGTCTTGCACTGTATCCTCCCTCCTTTTCTGATGGTTTCCCCTTTTTGTAGCTGGACCTTCCCTCCGTATGTGGGTTGGGGTGATTCTGGCATCCCTGCTTTGTTGTACTTGTTCCCACTGGTCAGCAGGAATGATTGGGGAAATGAAGGAGGGTGACTTTAGGTTATCTAGGCTGTTTGGGACTCCCAGTTCGTATTTCTGAGTGAATATATAGCTGAGAGCGCCAAGATGACAACTGTCTCTTCTGTCTTCTTAGGGAGATCAGAGTTCCTGTGCACTGATGATGTACTTCTGGTGAATTAGCATATGTTACAGGGTGTTCCTGCTCCCAATGCCAGTCAGAAGAAGACTTGGGAATTGAGTGAGGAGTCAAAGCAAAACTCCTACTTTTAGCGAGGTTTAAATAATTTGTTTGGACCAAGCTGATCCAAACAGAAAACTACTTTCACTAACAGAAGCCATAGTTGTGAGCTCCATATCGTGATATCATCCACCTGCCTCTCTACCTCAGCCAATCAGAAGAAGCTTTGTATTCATTCAGAAAATGCAAAGCACCTTGTCAGTGGCTGAGCAGCCCTCGGCCAGACTCCATTTTGCTCCAGGAGCAGGACTGGAAGTTCGTGTCTTGCTACTGGAACACTGCACTACATATGCTAGGTAGATGACGCTATATATTTTTGAAAGACCTTATTACACATCTGAAGGAAGAGTAGGTCATTATGTTGGTCCCAGGAGACCAGCTGTTTCAGGGCTTCTGTCCCCTTATATTTAGAGTTCAGAAAACTGGGAAATCCTAGTTACATAGTTAGTCTGGCTGAGAGAGACAAGAGTCCATCCAGTTAAACCATAAAAAAAAAAAAAGTTATAATCCTGTACCCACAGTTTATCCAGAGGAAGGCAAAAAAACCCAGCAAGGCATGATCCAATTTGCTCCTGCAGGGGAAAAAATTCCTTCCTGATCCCCTGAGAGGCAATCTAATATTCCCTGGATCAACTTTACCTATAAATGTTCATATCCAATTATATTATGTGTATCTAGGAAAGAATCCAGGCCTTTTTTAAAGCAATCCATAGAATGATTATAAACCTGAAGAGGCTAAACAGGTTTGTTCTTTACAAGAGGTTTCGGATAGAAAGCATTTATTCTGCAAGGAATCTTCTTTTTCAGGAGCCTTTATGGTATCACTAGCCCTCCGGGATGCCTACCCTCGTGTCTATTTATCAGGACCATCAGAGCTTTCCAAAATTTGCTATCAAACATAGGAGGGCTTGCAGCATTGGCAGCTCCTCCTATCTTTACAAAGATTCTGTCAGAACTCATGACTTTTTTCATCTTTAGAAGATTATTCCTTACATAAACGATTTCCTTATGCTCTCCAAGGATCTGAAGAAATTGACCTCGGACCTTCAGACGGTTTTTTAAACCTTCCAGGAGTTAGGTTGGAGAGTTAATTTAGACAAATCAGATTTGATCCCATTCTAGTTGGTAATCTTTCTGAGTTACAGAATAGACACAATTCGTTAGATGTTGTTGAGAGTCTCATGTCTTCTTATTTGGTATAGGACTAATATTTGTTAGATGATGTTGAGAGTTGACTTGCTCTCTTTTTGTTGCATGGTTGTTCTAGCGCCTACCTATTCACGTTTGTATAAATCCTATTTTTGTCTTGGGGGATTCTTACATGGGGAGAGCAACAACTAACATTGCTATTGGCTGTACATATCAAGGGAATTCTGAATGTACTAGCAGACTATCATCTTTTAGGTACAGAATGATAACTGGGAACTGAACTCAGAAATTTTCAGAAAGATACCAATCCAACCAGATCTCTCATATCGGGGTCCTGTATTGCACCTGAATCCGTCAAATCTTCCACATCGTGGCCTGGAGATTAAGAGTATTCTAAGAAACAGGGAATGTTCAGAAAAAAGGGATAGAAACCCTTCCTATAATGGTTGCAAGATGAGTACCTGGAAAATATACTCTCCATTATGGCAGACCTTTTTTTTTTTTTTTTTTTTTTTTTTTTTTTTCTGGCATACAAAGCAGGAATATTTTGCCCAGTTCCCACAATTCTATATTTTCTTCAGGAATGGGTTTGATAAGAATTGTCACTTAGTACCCTTAACGTACAGATTGCAGCACTTTTGCCCAATTTTGAAACTAGACCTCCAAGGGACCCCTAAGAGATTCCTAGTAGCCAGGGAGCATTGCATTCTTGTCTATATTTCCATCGTACACATTCCTGGAAACGGGGCTCATCGGTAGTGTTGGCTGCAGCGACTACCAACTGGATACTGGAAACATCACAGATAAATGCACATATTCACCAGCACACCAAGGATTTTCAAATGTACTCCAAAATTGCAGAATGATCACATCACAAAAGAACAAAGGTAATGTTTCAGAGCTGCGCAGGACCTCTTAGTCAGGCATGTGATGTACGGGTCCTGCACGACTCCGAAACGTTTCACTAGTTCTTTTGTGATGTGGAGTCGTGCAGGACCCGTACATCACATGCCTGACTAAGAGGTCCTGCGCAGCTCTGAAATATTACCTTTTTGTTCTTTTGTGATGTGATCATTCTGCAATAAAAAAAATAAAATGTAGTGCTGTTGCGCTTAGGAATAAATATTCATGCAACTCTGATAAGTATACACTGCAGTCCTAATTTGTGAACCAATAAAACAAAAACAAACAAAATACCATGTGGACTGCGCATAAATTAAGTGCACTAAATTTGACATATACAAAGTGAATGATTGTAACATTCAGTCCAAATTCGGAAAAATAAAGTGCCCAAGTGTTGAATACTAATTGGTGAACTTCGTGCAAAAAATGACAGGTGCTCAAACAGTGCCCCACAAGGATGTGCACTCACCGTTCACTGTGGACCACCACCTATCTCTAGGTTGGTCTTAAGTGTTTGGGACTAGCCCAATGCGTGATGGCAAGAATGGCACCAATATTCATTCCTGGGAATCATGCGATCTGGCTGATAGTAACAAATAGGATGATGACCAGCGTGGATATAAATGACAGTGTAGTTTCAAAAGAGCCTTTTTAAGCTTTCTTCTCTCCTCCCACAGGCAGTAAACCAAGTTTCAGCATGTGAACAGAAACAAAAGCAAACATCGCATAGTGTAAAACCATAAAAACCTTTAATGATGGGAGACATTTAAGAATAAAACTCACAAGCAAAGTGCCCATAACCTGGCACTCAGTGTATTCAGCCTTGCTGCCTGTGAATAGGAACCAAGATAGCCACAGTGTTCCAGCATGCGTACCAAAAGGTGGAAATGACGTCAAGTGAAGTTGCGTCTTCAAACCTCGACCGGTTTCGATCAATGGATCGTCATCAGGAAGTGCAAGATCTGCCATTTTGGAGATGGTATTTATATGAAGCAGTGATTAAATCACTTGCTGCAGCTGTGTCAACTACTTGCCCAAATCTATCCATAATTACCTGCAACATTGCTGAATATAGTGTACATATGCCAGATATGCTTGGGCTAGTAAACAAAACTTAAAATTAAATCAAAAAGTAAATTTAGTGCATAAAATACAGCGATGGGGTTCTTAAAAGGGGCGGACTGACCATTCGAGCACTCGGGCACCGCCCGAGGGCCTGGGGTCAGTAGGGGGCCCTATGAGATGCCCCTGATACCTTTTCATTGGCTTTTTCATAGCCTTTTTTGGGTGTGGGTGAGGACACGGGCCCCCGGGGGCTCCATGGGTTGTCAGTCCCCCCCTGAGACCAACCTAGAGATAGGTGGTGGTCCACAGCTAACGATGAGTGCACATCCATGTGGGGCAAAAAATGACAGGTGCTCTAAGTTCACCAATTAGTATTCAACACTTGGGCACTTTTTATATTTATGAATTTGGACTGAATGTTACAATTATTCACTTTGTATATGTGAAGCATTATTACTCCTGTATTGTCAAATTTAATGCACTTAATTTATGCGCGGTCCACATGATATTTTGTTCTGCAATAAAAGCCTTTGGAGTACATTTGAAGATCCTTGGTGTGCTGGCAAATATGTGCATTTACCAAGGAGCGCTGCATGTCTAGAATGG